GGGGGCCGCGCAGGTCCGGCCTCATGTGTGACCTTGGTCAAGTCGCGCGATCTCTGGAGGGGACTGAGCCGGGTTCGAGCCCCGGGACTCTGAGCTTCCTCACTCTGTGACCTTGGGCAAGTTGCTTCATCTTTCTGAGCCTCAGTTCCCTCCTCTGAGAAGTGGGGACTTGCCTCTCTGGGTGATGTGAGTTAGCACCTGCCCTGGCCTAAAGTAAGCTCTAAGTAATTGTGAACTATTGTTCTAATTATCATAGTATCCTTTGTACGCCTCAGTTTTGTTCCCTGTAAGATCAGGATATTCCCAGAACCTGCCCCATGTGGTGGTTGTGAGGTTTAAAGCCTACTTAACACAGGGCCTGGCGCATTCGTGTGGAATTATTATTATACTATTTGTGTGGCTGTTTCCTCATCTGTAAAATGGGATAATAGTGCACCTGCCTCAAGAGCTGGTTGGCGAGGTCATGCATATAAAGGCAGCAGTGCCTGGCACCCAGCAGGTGCTCAGTAAATGCTGTGGGATACTAGGTAACAGACATTGGGGGTATGCCAGCTAATCCTGCAAAAGCACTTTGGCCATATGCATGCTCCATGATGGCGACTACCTCAGTTCACTGCTCTATCCCCAAAACCTAGAGTATTGCTTTGTGGCTTGTAGGTGCTTAGTAATGATTGTGGAATGAATGAAGTGTCATTAGAAAAGGTAGGCTGGTATCTGGGAGAGGAGGGAGGGCTTTAGAGGTGTTGGGAGTGTGGCAGGTGAGCAGGTTTATGGGGTGACCAAGAGGTCAGGGAGGCAGGCCCCAGAAGGTTTATGAGAGCATAACTGAGGTGCTGGGATTATATGGTGTCAGGGACAAGGCCTGGGAGCACGTTGTTTATAGACAGACCCGAGTGGAGTGTGTGGAAGAAGGTCATGTGACTGGACACAGAGACCATGGCTTGTTAAGGAAAGTGGGGGCCAAATCAATTGAGTTGTAAGACCCAGGATGTAGGTGTGTTGGGGTTAATAGTATCATAGTTGGGTCAGGGAAGTGAGTGGTTTTTGGTCTCGCATAAGAAGCTGGATTGGGATGTGGTTGGTGGTTTGGACAAGGTGAAGGATGGCTGAGGTTTCCGTGGTTGCTGGTGGAGGGGAGAGGTAAGGGGAAAAGTTAGGGGCTCGTAGGAAGGTGGAAGGGAACTGAGTGTGGGGAAGGACAGATGGAGTGTGACTCGTGGTTTGAAGACAGGAAAACCAGATGAGCTGCGTAGTCTTGCTCTTGGAGACGGCCTCTAGCCTTCCTCGGGGTCCTGAGGCTTATACCTTTAAAGGATTTGATTTTGGCTCTAGCCTGGTTCTGAGGGGCTGGTATCAGGGTGATTTCTCCCCTTTTGGAGTTAAAACCAATCTGCTGTGGTCAGGGGTCTTTATCTCTCTGCAAGACATCTAGGTCCTGAGTGTTGATCTCCAAAACGAAAAACCTTAACTCAGTGAGAAGGTGTAGCTTATTGGCATTTCTCCCCAGTAAAACCCAGGGGATGGTTTTGGCCCCCTTTCTCACAGTACATTTTGCATGGTGTATTGATTTTTCACTCAGCAGGCAGGTGTGGGAGAAGACTCACTGGGGCAAGATTTATGTGGTCTGGCTCTCAGCTTCATCTGAACATGCAGGCCTAGTTTGTGTAAGAGGAGATGATGCTTTGCTTTTTGATTTTCCTGACAGTGAGCTGATGCTCAAAGCTGATCGCTTAGGAGACTGGAGTTGGTAGCTGTGAAGTTTCAGCTAAGCTTTGGAAATTGAGCCAAAGGAGACTGACATCGCGTAGTCCCCTGAATCAGGCTGCTGTCTGTGCTTCCTCAGGGATGATCAAATGATTTCTCAGACTCTGTCCTCTGATTCTCACTTGTTGCCTGTGTGGTTTGTCAGCTAAGGAAACTAAGGCTCAGAGAGGATGACTGAGTTGCTCAGAGTCACACAGCTCATCAGAGGCAAAGCTGGGAGTTGGTGTACATCTCTGCTAATCTCTGTGTGAGCAGCTGGTGTCAGGCCTGGCAAAGGGTAGGCCCCACATGAATGGTAGTTTCTTTCCTCATAAGTGTAGAGTTCTTCTTCCCACTCTGCCACATTGTACGTGCTTCTGGAATGTATTCCCTTGGCTTTGGCTTCTCTTCCTTATTCCTGAGGCTCTGCATTTCATCTGCATCCACTGGGCCAGCGATCCTCATTAGAAGCTAGAGGCTGCAGTGGCCGTCAGAGACCTAGTTAAAGCATTTCATTTTACAGATGAATAAACTGAGGCTCCGAGAGGGGAAGTGACTTGTCTGAGATTGCTCAGTGAGCTAGGATCATAATGGAGAACACGCCACTCGAAAGTGCGAGCCTCTTCAGCAGGCTGGGACTGAAGCAGACAGAGTGAGAGGAGTAGCCCAAGGAAGGAGCAGGGCTGAGGCTGATGCCGCGTGTGTGGTTGGCATGATGAAGACCAGAGCACCTGTGTAGGCCAAGAGGCAGAAAGGAGAGGAGAGAGGGAGTTTGCTGCAGAGACAGTGGTGTGAAGGTGTGCAAGGTCTTTGCAGTGGAGGTCTGTGTCTCCTGCCTCCCAAAAGCATCGAGTGCTGGGGCCTGCGGTCCTTGCAGAGTAAATGATGGTGGGGCCAGATCGGTCAGGTTCTATGCCAGAAATGGCCATGGCATGCTGTTGACTTTGACCCCGTTGTTGTTGGGTGCTGTCGAGTTGATTCCAATCACAGCAACCCCACGTGACAGAGTAGGGTTTCCTTGGCTGTAATCTTCATGGGGCCAGATCGCCAGCTTTGTCTTCTACGGAGCCACTGGGTGGGTTCGAACCACCAACCTTTCAGTTAGCAGCCAAGCACCACGGCTCCCTATTTTGACCGTAGTGAAGGTATCTCAACTTCCTCCCTTTCGTTGGGTGCTGGTCAAATGGCAGCGGCATGATTTCTCAAGGAGGCCCCTTCTAAGGTTGTCGAGGAGATGGCATTTCTCAGGGTGCTTTCTTTCCTCTCAGAGGGAAAAGCAGTGTCTAGAGGTTGATGTCAAATCTGAAGCAGCAGTTAGTTGGGTGACTGTAGTGGTCTTTTTGCAGTGGTACCTGGGGATGAGTAGAAGGGAGGGGACGTGGCTGTTTCGTGGCTTCACGCAGAGAGAACAGCTTCCTCTGATCTGATTTAGATAGATGGGATTTAAATAAAACTTAATTTTAAAAAAGGATCCCACCATCCTCATAAGGTTGAAAACCCCTGCTTGGCTCCTGTAAATGCTGCAGTATAGTGCTACAGTACTACCATTGACATGGCTGTCAGGAGATTGCTGTTTGTTTAGTCATAAATTCATTAGGCAGTGTTTTGCTGGCACCTAGTAAGTGCTGGACCCAATGTACAGGCCTAGGGACTGAGTCAGCCACAGTACCCTGAATTCACAGCGTGAGAGAGACGAGTTCAGCATCTAGAGGAACCCACTGCCTAGTGGCCCCGACACCAGCTTTTAGCTGAGTAAGCTCAACTTACTCAGAAGGCTTCGGGAGGCTCTGGGAGGAGGCAGAGGAGCTGGCAGGGCCAATGGGGTGTTGGCCTTGGGCAGAGCCCATGAAGGACCCAGCCTAGGACTCAGGCTCTCCTTGTACTCAGCGGGAAGCCTCACAGAGGCAGCAATGAGGAAGTGGCTCTGAGCAAGAGCCTTGCAGTCCCAGGGGCTGAGCAACAGGTACGTGGGTGCAGCACCTGCCTGCTGAGGAGAGCCTCACCCCGACTCTGTCTTCGGAAGGTAAGACCCAGGTTTACTCAGTGAAACAAGTTCTGGGCATCTCCAGACAGTTTACTCACCTGGAGAAGGACCCAGAAAAGCTCTTTCAAGAGGATTGCTTAGAGAGGATGTCTGGGGTTAGGTGGTGAGAAACACAGGTGTTACTTAGTCCTTAACAGTGGGTTTTGGCTTGGTTATTGGGTAGCAGTAGAGGGGTGGGATCATTGCCTTCTTTGAGACTGATAAAAGCTGTGGGCTTTTCCCAACAAATACCTGCATATCCTCAACATTTTCATTTAGTTGTAGGGGTTAATGAAGTCCTAGGTTAAGCTCTCATGTTAAAAATGTAATAGGTATGAGATGTAGGAGCCTTTATGGGTCTTTTTTTCTGCTCCTGGAAGTAGACTCAGGAAAACCCAAGCAGTTTGTATTGGGAAGAGCTTTCAACTCTGGAGTCCAGCATACCTGGGTTCACGTCTGCCATGTCCTGCTGGAACACTTCAGGCTGCCTGCTTAGCTTCCTGAAGCCTCTGTTTCCTCATCTTAGAGACATACTTGGAATCGTAGGAGAGAGTCAAGGTGCCCACCACATAGAAGGTGTTCTCTGCATATTAGTTACTTCCTTCTGTGGGTGATTGGGTTTTGGAGTGCTAGGGTAGGGAGATAAGGCAGGAGGACACAGGACAGGCTACCTGGTTGACCTGCTGAAGCTGCTGTATGGAAGTAAAGGGGGAGCCAAGTGTCTGAGTTCCACCTGTCCTTGGAATAAGTATGCTGGGTGGGAGGTGCTGTGCTAAGTGATATGGTCTGAGTCTAAGTGAGTTGTTGGCCTGATAGGTGGAGTAAGGCTGACCTTCTGACTGCCACTCCGTGAATCCTGCCATTAGTGATGTCAGCAGAGAGGAAGTGTGTTGTAGACGAAAGATGCCTGGTAGTCAGGTCTAGCTGTCTGGGTGTCAGTGTTCTCACCTGTACAATAGCCTTGGTGGTCTCAGGGTTCTTTCCAGCTCTACACGTGCTCTGTTCAAGTGGTATGCAGGTGGAGCTGTGTGCGTGATGTTTATTTTTCTAGGGACCATGTTTAGACTCACTTTGGGGACCCAGCATCATTTGGTTGACCTTCCTCCTGCTTTATTTTTGTCATCTGGCATTTTTCTTTGAGTTTTGGGGCTAGTCTTCAAAACGGGGCCTGGCACGAGTCCCTTCTCATCTCTCTCCAGGGGACATGGGAGCAGCTTGTCTTACACTAGGACGAAGGAAAAGGCCAGGGAGCAAGTGGAAGAGATGTTCTTGGTGTGTGGCTTTTGGAGGAGATAAAAATAGGCATTGAGGAGAGGTGGGTCCCACAGAGCTTTGTAAGAGTCAGAACTGTTTCCCATCATCTCTCTGGAGAAGGGTTTGGTTGGACGGAGGGAGGAAGCCCACTGTCTCTTCTCATCGTGGTGGTTTCTCTCTCACAGGTGTGGGCAAGAGCAGTTTACTGTTACGTTTTGCAGACAACACTTTCTCAGGTGAGTGTTCCCCTGGGATGCTGCTGGGGGGACTTTGGTTTTTAATTTTTACTGTGATTTGGGTGAAAGTTTGAAGAGCAAATTCATTTTCCATACAGCAGTTCGTACACATTTTGTTCCATGATATTGACTGCAATTCCCTGCAATGTAGCAGCTCTCTTCCTGCTTCCTCCCTGTAGTCACTTCTTTCCTGTGTCCTTCTTTTCTGTGCATTCCTGACCACTCACCCCCCACCCACAGCTATCTCTCTGTGCAAACATTGCCCTTCTTTTCTCACATGATTGATCGCTCTAAGGTGTGTATCTACCTGGTATAAATATTCTATATGCATGTCTTTTGTTTGGCTGGAAGCCATGGGAGTGAGTTCAATTCCAGGCCTGAAGGGTAACTAGGGGCCATAGTCACAGGGCTTTCACCAGGCTCTAGCAGACCAGTAAACCTGGTGGTTTATTTTTAATGATTTTGAGTTTTATTCTCCCACTGTACCCAGGATCTCCTGCATTGATCCCTTTCTGAGTGGTTGACAGTGGTAGCCGGGCACTATCTAGTTCTTCTGGTCTTATGGTCATATGGGCTGAGAATCGCGTGGTCTACTAGCCCCTTGGACTAATTGTTTCCATGCACCTTTGGTTTTCTTCATTTTCTGAGACTTGAGTTTTTTAATCCCTTTCCCTGGCTCTTCCTCACATGAATGTGTTCTCATTCAGAGGCCAGAGGTGAGAGGAGGAGGAGGTATAAGTGAGAAAACCACGCTGAAACGGTCCTGAGAAGCCTGACGCAGGCCCACTGTTTCCTCACCCAGGGTCATTTTGTTCCCCAACATTTAAAAAAAAAAAGAAAGAAATACCACAAGACAGTTTGAACAGTAAGTTGTCTAGGTAAAAAAGAGAAACTTGCCTGGCCCCCTGTTTCCCTCTGCTGCCCTAATAGCCTCTGTTCAGTGTGATATGTTTCTTTCCAACTTTTTTTCTGAACTCTGCATACTGTTCAGCAACTTGTCTTCCCTTCAGGATTCAAGGAACACCCTTCCCCTTTGTTACATACGGATCTGTGATTCTTTTGAATGGCTGTGAGGTTTTCCTGTAGTGTGGATGGATTAAACCATAATTCACTAACAGAGCTCTTCACTCATACCTTTGTGGCCAGTCTGTTTTAAGTGATGCTGCATTACTTGGGATACGTTGTATATATAGTCTTGTTGTCATGATACACTGCCAGTATACTGTTATACTTCTTCAGCTGTTTCTATAGAAGTGGAGATACTGGGTCAGAGGTTATATGCCTTTAAAATTTTCTTAACCTCCCCAAAAAACCCTCCAAAAACCTGTTCCTTTGAGGCGATTCTAATTCATAGTGACCATATACGACAGTGTAGAACTGCCCTATAGGGTTGCCTACGCTATAATCTTTATAGAAGCAGACTGCCACATCTTCTGTGGAGCAGCTGATGGGTTCTAACTATTGACCTTTTGGTTAGAAGTTGAGTGCTTAACCAGTGTGCCACGGGGACTCCCTTAATTTTTTTTTTAAATATTGCTAAATTGTCTTCCCCAAAAGCTGTACTAATTTAACTTAAGCTCCTGTAGAAGGAGCCCTTAGCCAGCTTCCAAAATTTGGAGTTCTGGTGGCGTAGTGAATAAGGCATCTGGCTGCTAACCAGAAGGTCAGTAGTTCAAACCCACCAGCCACTCCACAGAAGGAAGATGGGGCGACCTACTTCCGTAAAGATTTACAGCCTCAGAAACTCAGTGAGGGTTGCTGTGAGTCAGAACTGATTTGATGACAATGAGTTTGGTTGTTTTCTTGGTCCTCATTCATTGCCATTGAGTTGGTCCCTACTCATAGCAACCCCTCCTTGGGTTTCTGAGGTGGTATCTCTATGGTGGTAGATTGCCCAGTTTTCCTTCTGAGGAGTGGCTGGTTTCTTCTCTTCACCTTGGTACTACTGGCATTTTGGGCCAGGTGATTCTCGGCAGTGGGGCTCTCCTACACATTATAGGATGTTTAGTGGCATCCCTGGCTTCTGGTCACCAGATACCAGTACTACCCCATTAGTGGTAGCAAACAAAGTGCTTCCATATGTCACTAAGGTCCCCTGGGGGGCAGTACCATCCTCAGTTGAGAACCATTGGTTTATATTGTCAGCTTGCCATTCAGAGCCTTCGTAACTAGTTCAGGTTACCTTTCCAACTTCCTCATACAATTTGTTCATTCTCTTACTCTTTCACTCACTCATTCATTCAAGTGAATGCATGTTTACTGAGTGTTGGTGCTAGGTGCTGGGCCGCACCCCCTGATACCATCCTGGACTTCAAGTCTCAGACGTGCCGGCTTGCTCTCTCAGTGAATTCTGTTTGTGCTTCTGTGTGAGTTCTTCTCCTCTGTGTAGATGTCTTTTCCACCAGTCTCAGCCTGTGACATCTTGGCTGTTCTTCCGAGTGTGGCCCAAATGTGATGTCTTCTTCGATGCTTCCTTGACCTCTACCATACTGTGACCTTGGGCATTCCCTGTGCACTCACCGCACTTTATTTTACACTTATTTTGGGTGTCTCGTCTCCTGCGTCCTGCGTTCCAAAGGAGTCTGCTTCTGGACTGCAGAGGTATCTGCTGGGGTGGAAGCAGTCACAGTGTCTGCTACAGTGGAAGGGCCAAAAGGAGTGAGAATATGTGTTCTTAGTGTGGAGACCTACTTTGTGAGCCTGGACTGGAACATTGTACCAGCTGGAAATTCTCCTCACATCCGTCTTCTCCAAGAGGCCCCAAGGCAGCTGTTGAAAATGCTAACAATGCCCAGCACATGCTAGGTGAAGTCCCGGCTCTAAACGAACACAGGCCTGCGATCTTGCCTGGGCCGCTGACACTTTGTGCTTGATCCCTAACCCCGCCGTAGACGCACACAGAGAGACAGACAGACAGACACACCCCATTGCTATTTTTGTTGCTCTTGCCTCTGTCTGAAACAAGTTTTCATACTGCATTCATGTCCTACGCGTTAGGAAGTTGATTTAGTGAGTCACTAAAAGAAAAGACCTGAGAACATCATAGGTCTTCCTCCTTCTCAGACCCCAGCAGAGTCCCCACCCCGACCACTCTGATTACAGGTGCCGTCTCTGTCACTTCACCTTGTGTCATTTCCTTTGTAACATTTTGTCACTGTAGGAAGTGATGCACTTTATTGCACTTTATTACTTTATTGTGGATTGTCTGTTGCCCTCACCCGCCTATAGGCCCCATGGGGCAGGGACCTTGTCTTCCTTCTTCAGGGTTGTCTCCCTGCAACCTAGAACTGGGTGGGACACTCGGTGGGGCCCTGCTGCTGTTGAGGACTTGGTACCACCCTGTTGGGCTTTGACAACATGCCTTATGTGTACAGGCAGCTACATCACCACGATTGGAGTGGATTTCAAGATCCGCACCGTGGAGATCAATGGGGAGAAGGTGAAACTGCAGATCTGGGACACGGCCGGGCAGGAGCGCTTCCGCACCATCACTTCCACGTGAGTCCACTGGCTGTCCCAGTCCTGACTCTGCCCACTGACGTCTGGACACTGTGGAAGGGTGGTGCCCTGACATGGTAGAAATGTCACTGAGTGGGTCCCTGGGGCTGTTGGGAAGGGAGCTTGTTGCTGGCATAGTAGGGTCATGTTTGGCAGCACTATTCCTCATCCTGAAGATACGAGAGGAATGCCCTGCCCGTAGGTTGACAGTGACCAAACACCCATCTCTGGAGTCTGGTAGGACAGTAACCGTGGCCAGGCAGCTTCCCCTCTGGCTGCCAGTTCCTTTAAAAGGGGCGTAACAGTGAGATTTGCTTCACCAAGGGGTTGTGAAGTGCCCTGCACGAGTGAACCCTTAGTGACACTTATTGCGACTAGGTGTCAGTTGTGACAGTAGGGTCTTGGAGGTGGCTCTCTACTGGCAGATCTTAGAGGAGCATTGGTGTGCATGAGGCCATCAGAAGCTCCTACTGCCAGGGCCTGGGAAGCCCGGCTCCCTCAACAGTCACCCACCTTGGCCGCCGGGCGGCTCCTTTGTGGTTTGTTGGTGCAACAGGAGGTAAAATCCAGGTCCAGGTCCAATCAGGAGCCCTCTGGAGGGGCTCTTGGGTCTTGGGTTACTAATGAAAGGGGTTCCAGGAATGAGCAGGGTTTTGAAGGCAGACAGTTTGTGATTTAAATCTCCATTGTGCTGTGTGACCTTTCTGTGTTCAGGGTCTGCTGTACTGTTGAGTCCTGTGTGCAGGTTCTGGGGGCTTTGGGTTCAACATGGGTTCTTTCCTTGAACTCCCTGACAACTGTGACAGTGCCATTTCACAGATGAGTGAGCTGAGAAGTGGCCCTGCTCCTACTAAGTGGCGAGCCATGCTCCACACGGTAGTGGGATACCCACTGTGTCTGGTACCTGTGTTTACTGCTTCTCTGGAAATCACCACCTTTCTCCCCCCAGCAGTGTGGCTGCCAGCCGTGGAGGCTCTTGGGAAGGTGTGTGAGGAAGTCCCCCAGCTAGAGACCCTGTTCCTCCCTTTAGCATGGAAACATGGCAGACCCCTGGCTGGCTGCCCGTCCTGGGACCTTCAAGGGTGAGGGTGCGGCAGTATGTAGCTGGTAGTGGGAGAGGGGCTCACACGTTCAGCTCTAGCAGGGTGGGTTGCTGGGGCAGCCCTGTAGTGAGCACATGTCTTCATCTGGGGCTCCCTGCACTCACTGACTGCTGGCTGGTGAGCTACCCAAGCGAGGCTCTTCTGTCTGCTCTCTCAGCAGCTGCCAGTGGGGCTCAAGAAGAACAGTCGCAGTCGGAGGCTCCCTGAGCAGATGTCCTTATGCTGGGCCGGGGACTATCACTAAGGCTTTCACCTACTTTATTTCATTCAATCCTGATAGAGTGACCTGTGATTACATTCATTTTCCGGGTAAGGAAGCTGAGGCCCAGAGTTGCTGAAATGACTTAGCTTTGGTTGGTAAGTGGCAGGGTCAGGATTTGAACCTAGGTCTTTCTGATGCCAGAGCTCATGTTCTTCACCAGCCCCCCATGAGCCTCTGGTGCACACCAACCAGGGAAGTCAGGGTGACCGAGCACATTCGGCCTGTGGCCACAGAACCGCTGAGCCAGAGCTGGGGGCTGGGCCTGGGACCCTTTCAGCAGAAGGAACCAGCGCCCCAGCCACTTTCCTGCCTGCAGGCTGGTGGCTAGGAGGATGGGGAATCCTCCTCCATCCTATTTAGGGTATTTGGAGGAGTCACACAGGCACGTGAGGGCAGCATGTCTTTTTCCAGGGTGCTTGAGAAGGGGGATATTCCTGCCCCCCAGTGGCCTTGGCTGGCCGTCCTTCCTGTCTCTTTTTGGGGGGGCGGAGGGGCCACCGTGTGGGAGGGCTCCTGCAGCTGCCACGCCTGGTGCTGCCTGAAGACAGTGCTGCAGCAGCAGCTGGTGAGCCAGGGAGGTGGGCCTGGGACTGTTTCAAGAGGTGGTCTCAGGAGGTGGGCAGTCAAAGAGAAACTAAAACTGCACCCTGTCATCCCCCCACCATTCTTGTCTTGCTGCTGGGAGCACAGGCTGGGGGAGGGGAAAAGGGAGGGAGAGGCAATGGTGGAGGTGAGAGGTCACGAGGAAGGGATCCTTTTGAGACCTGGCACCTGGGGAGTCAGACCTGAGTGTCACCTCCCTGAGCCTCACATCCTCCCTGGTAAACGGTTGTTGTCAGACCTGCTGGACCAGGTTATCCTAAGGTTGTAGATGGTAGCAGGTGGAATGTTCTCACCCATGCCTTCTCCCAGGACACCTCTGGTGACAGTAGCAGGGAGCTAGCCTCTGCCTTGGAGCCCACAAGCACTAGTGCCTTTCCTGCCATAGCTCTGAGCTCTCGGTCACAGCTGGGGCTCTGTGCCAGTGCCCAGTCGTGGGCATTCGTTGGCATCTTCAGTTAGTCTTCAGCAGAGGAGCGGTTTGGGACCGCCTTCCATGCTGTTGCTTCCTTTGCTGGTGCGGGGACCGTTGTGTGTTTGCATGGTTCTGGCATGCCCTATACACTGAACCCCGTGATGAGTCAGGGGCCCGGTGCCTAGAGGGCTTTGTCCCACAGGTGGTGTCATGGTTACAGTCTCCATCCCTGGAAAGGCAAAGCCATGGACAGGAGGAAGGGCCTGGGGAGGAAAGTGTGTGTCTGTGGGTGGAGAGGCAGACCACGGGGACAGGCTGGACTTGACGCAGAGCAGCAGAGCAGCAGGAGGCCCGTCCGGCTCCACCGCGTGGGAGTCTGCCCAGGGGATGCTGCCTGGGGGGCACAGATGCTCTCTCCTTAATTCTGAGAGGTAAGTACTAGTATCGCCATTGAGGAAACTGAGGCTCAGAGAGGTGAAGTCACTCTCCCAAAGCCCCACAGCTTTTAGGAGGTGGGGCTGGGGCTGGTTTTCTTCTCTTACTGGGCTGAGTGGGTGAAGGGCTTGCCAGCGGCTGACGGGTGGGCAATGAGGATGTCTTGCAGCCACCGTCTTCTGTTGCCTGAGGACTGGGTTCAGGGAGAAATAGTTCTTCCTGCGAACTCGGGGGTTGAGCTTTTAGGCTCAGGTGAGCCCCAGCAGGTGCTCAGGGCTGGGGCAGGTGCTGCTGGAGTGAGGAGAGAAGGCAGCCCTGCCCTCTGGCTCGCCTCCCTTTACGCCGTGGTTTTGGCCCTCTGGGCTCCGAGAGGCCCTGGTGTTGTGAGTCTCTGTGGAAGAGATTCCGAGGGGCAGCTTGCGGGGATTCCATAGTGCCAGACAGGGCTGCTGCCTGCCTTTGGGTCTGTGAAGACTTCAGGGGAGGGGAGGCCCCTGCCTTCCTCCTTGGGGTTGATGTCCTTGTGTCCCCCTGAATCATCCGCATGAATGGGGGGCACCATGCTGGTGGTTTGGCAGGGAGGTGTTGGCATCCTCCTTCTTCTGGACGTAGCTGACCTCTGAGGCCACGGGTCTGCCCACTGGGGATAATGAGCACATCTGTGATCCGCTCTCCCGACCTGTCCCTACCTCCCATCCCCGAGGGGAGCGAAAGCAGACTCTTCTGGGTGTTCACACAGTGTGTCTTCATGGAATTGCATTTCACTAACAGAATTTAGAAGAGAGAAAACTTTTTTTGAATATCAGAACAAGCACAGTGGTAATAGGATGTCAGATATGGAAATTGCCAGAATTCTAGAAAAAAACAAGAACCTCGAAGTTTCATGCCAGGGCTAGGTTCTGAACCACCTGGATTAGTGCTTATGGTCGCCCTCTGGCTGCGGGTGCACTGTTCCCTCTGGGGCCGTGGGTGCAGGGCTGGGCCGCCTTTCCTGTTGCCCAGGGCGTGGTTTGGGCCAGGCCGGTGAGGAGGGGGCAGAGCCTGGAGCTGGGGTGCTTGTGGGAAAACCTTTGCTCAGGCTGAAGCTCTAACACAGACCTTGGCCTTCCAGGTATTATCGGGGGACCCACGGGGTCATAGTGGTTTATGACGTCACCAGTGCCGAGTCCTTCGTCAACGTCAAGCGGTGGCTTCATGAAATCAACCAGAACTGTGATGATGTGTGCCGGATATTAGGTGAGGCCACACCTGCAGGAGGAGACAGAAGAGAGGGCGGGGGCGGGGTGTCCTACTGAGCTGGGCTCACTCTGCTTTGTCTTGAAGTGGGGAACAAGAATGACGACCCCGAGCGGAAGGTGGTGGAGACAGAAGATGCCTACAAATTCGCTGGGCAGATGGGGATCCAGCTGTTTGAGACCAGCGCCAAGGAGAACGTCAATGTGGAGGAGGTGAGGCTGGGCTGAGGTCTGGCTGGAGCCGGGCCTGGGGAGGTGGTGACGCCCAGCCCTGCCCTCCCACCCTGCCCTCCGCTTCCCGCTCCACATGAGCCCGTGAGGACATCTGAGGGGCAACAGGAAGCGCCACAGTAACTCCGATGGCGCTGAGCGTCTGCTATGGGCCTCCGGGCTTTGTGCCGAGAATGCTAGAGCACATTTCTTTTTTCTTTTTTAATGATATTTTATTGTGTTTTCGGTGAAAGTTCACACAGCAAATTAGGCTCTCGTTTGACAGTTTCCATATTGTTTAGTGACGTTAGTTACACTTTTCACAGTGTGTCAGCACCTTCTTAATTGTGTTCTGGTTGTTCCGTTTCTAGTTCTCTAGTTTCCCTGTGCCCTTCTTTTCTTGTCTTCGCTTTGAGTAGGTGTTGGCCTTTGATAACTTCTTTCTCATCAGTCTTCTGAGGCAGGTACAGGTATACCCACATTTCAGATGTGGAAAGTGAGGTTCTCATTACCCAGCTGAAAGTAGCTGGATTGAACTTAGATGTGACCCACACCAAAGCCACAGACAACTCCCACCCCGTCCTCGGTCTTGCTGCCCCTTCCCCCGGCCATACCACTGTCACCTCTTCTGCTCTCTGCTTTCCTTGGTCTCCCTGGGAGACCAGGCTGCTTCCTGTGGCTCCCAGAGCCTGGGCGGGCCCCTGGTGCCGACCGAGACTCCTGAGGGGGGCAGGGGAGCACCCTGCAGACCGGTCGCCCGGCCGCTGGCTCGCCAGCTCCCTCTGTGCTTCTGCTGGGCCTGCTGGGAAGCAGGTGTGATTCGGTGGGAGAAACAAGCCCAGCCCAGCCCCACCTGCCAGCCTAAGGAAGTCCTGCCTTCCCGATGTCTGGACACAGAGGCCCCAGGGAAGTCAGGCTTCCCACTGCATCCCTGGACGTGGCCTGCAGTGACGGGAGCCCAGGCTTCTGAGAGTACTGGCCTTGCCATGTGGGGCCCAGTTGTTGGAGCCACTCTGAGTGTTGGGGTGACTGACTTATCACTCCCGTCTGTTCTCCCTATAAACTGGGGAGAATGGGAGTCCCTGCCTTCCAAGTCGTGAGGATTAAATGAAGAAATTATGTCACCAGTAAAGCCAGTTGCTGTGGAGTCGAATTCTGATTCAGATGGCCCTGTGTGTGTCAGCGTAGAGCTGGGCCCACAGGGTTGTTGCTGGGTGGTTTTTGGAAGCAGATCACCAGGCCTTTCTTCTGCAGTACCTCTGGGTGGACTCAGACCTCCAGCCTTTCTGTTAGCAGCCGACCCCGTGAACCGTTTGCACTCATCCTAAATTATGGCAGCTGAGTGCTTTCTAGGTCTCAGCCCAGCTTTTCTATGCCTCCTGCCACTACCACTGCCATTAGTGCTGTTGTCTTTGATGGAGGTATGAAGGAGAGGACTGTGGACTGGAACATCGAGTTCCCTGGGTCCTGAGATCAGAGGGACCCTGGTGACCTGGGCAAGCTCTCGGCTGGACCTCAGGCCGCATGTGCAGCTGATGTGAGCTGGCAGGCAGCGAGTCTGTGTGTCCCATCTGCAGATCAGGCAGGCGGCGGGTCCCTCCGTCCCACCTGCAGAGCAAGTTGCACCTTTGTCTTGTCGTAAGAGTCCAGCTAAAGGAAAGGGGTTCTTAATTTCTCACAAAAAATTAGACTGGAAAATCCCCGAGAGATTAAGTGACTTCCTCAAACCCACATAGCTTGTGGGTCTTTGATGTTGGGCCTTTTGATCTTCAGATGATTTTTGACCCTTTAGTAAGAGCTCAGGAGCCCTGGTGGCACAGTGCCTAAGGCATCTGACTGCTAACCAGAAGGCTAGCGGTTCAAACCTACCAGCCACTCCTCGGACAGAAGGTTGGGCATTCTACTTCTGTAGAGATAAAGCCTCAGAAACCAAAGGAGGGGTCGCTATGAGTCAGATCTGACTCAATGGCAGTGAGTTTTTTTTTTTTTTTTTTTAAGGGGTTTGTAGATGCTTACAGTCAAGGACATGGGTCTACAGAGCTAACAAGTAGGGAGTAGGAAGCTGGGACCAGACACGCGGCATGCTGACATGCTGATGAGTGGGTGGTGCTGGCCGCGATGGCCCCCTTGCTGGTCTGAGGCCACCTGCCTCCTTTCCTTTCTACAGATGTTCAACTGCATCACAGAGCTAGTCCTCCGAGCAAAGAAAGACAACCTAGCCAAACAGCAGCAGCAGCAGCAGAACGACGTGGTAAAGCTCACCAAGAACAGTAAACGGAAGAAACGCTGCTGTTAACGGCCCCGCCAGGCCGCTGCAGTGACTGCACTGTGCTCACTTCCCGGCCCGAGGCCCGCGGGGGGCTCCTCGGGGGACAGTCTCAGTTTCGTGCCGTTATTTAAAGAATTCTCCACGTTTTTGTATCTGGAGGCGCCGTCGGCACTTCCTCCCTTCTTCCCCCGCTCGAGTGCCAAGAAGGTGTTGGACAAACTTGCCCTTCCCTGCTGGTGCCCCCCGCCCCAGCCCAGGCGCCTCGACCTGGCTCGGACGCTGCCAGCAAGTGGACGAGTCACCAGGGTCTGTACATAGTGTACATTGCGTTAACCAGCTGCATCCCCTCGCCCCGCTCTGGCTTTGCCTCCTTACTGCCAACCTGCTGCAACAGAGCCTCCTCCCACCCCACTCCCTGCCAGCAGCTTCCGGAGGAGATAGGCCGTGTCTGCCCACGTCTTCTGGAGCCCGGGCTGGGGGCGTGGGTGCCGTCACCACTTCTCCCCTGTAGGCTGTCAGCAGCTGCCCGGGGCATTGGCTTGCCCCTTCTCCAGGGCCTGGGCTGTCTCTGTTCCTGCCCACTTCTCTGACCGATGACCATCTGGCAGCTGGGAAAGCCAGGCCTTGAGTGAGGCCGGGGGTCCTGTCAGAGGCCCTCCCCCAGCTGGCCCCTGCCCTTCGTCCTCAGCGGACAGCAGTCCTTCCCTGTAACCAGCAGGTTTCTTGTCTTGCCTTCGAGTCCTCAGAGCCACAAGCCCAGGGGAGCATAGGCTTCTAATTTATACCAAAATGTTTCAATATCAGCAGAAAGGCAGAGGCATGTTTGTGCAGGGATGTGGCCTGCAGGAGGGCTGGAGGGGTGTTAACATAAAAAAATGAAGCCAGATCGAATGAATGAAGTTCCTCGTGCTGCTGCTCTCCCTGGAGTGTGGCTGGCACAGTGGCACAGGTTGTAGCGTCCCCGCTTCGCTGTCATTGTTTTTAGAAAAAGTGAGTGGCTTCTTGTTACTATGGGGCTGGGCTCCTGGCACAGTAGCCCTGCCTTCGGGCTGTTTCTTGGTGGAAGGAGGTGGGGTCTCCGCCCTTCTGTGGTGGGTCCAGAGACCCCACTGGAGTTCCTGGAGCTGTGGTGTAGCACCAGGCACCTCCGAATGTGGGTCATGGGTGGCGGCTGCCGGACTCTGGGGATGACACCGCTGAGTGGTGACAGGCAGCTGTGGACACTGACAGGCTTTTAGTGGAAAGGTGGCATGAGGATTTCTTTGTGGGTGGGGAGGGATGGCAGCTGGGGCTGCCAGGGTTATCTGCACTTGAGGACCACTCCCTTCCCCTCAGGACCCTCCCTTCACCTTTGCTCAAGAGGATCATGGAACCTGGGATTATAGCACGGGGTTTGAGTGATGCCATTTCCTTTCCTAGGTGATTCCAGGCAAAGTCCTGATTGGACAATCACGACTCACTGCAGATTCTCCATGTAAACACTGGGATGGGTTTTTAATCAATAAAAACTGGGGGTTTCTTCCCACCACCTCTCTACTTCCCTAGGCCGTGACTCTGTGTGACAGGCCCCCCCAGTGAGTCGAGGATGGAGTGGGGAGCTTGGGGGCTAGGGAGGGTGGCTGCATGGCCATGGCCAGCTGGTAGCTGCATCTGGTCTGGGGGAGCCGAGAGCAGAAGCCTGGCCTCCATCCCCAGGAGGGTCCTGGCAGAACATGGGTGCTGTTGGGGACATGCCGAGCTGGGAGCTCTGTGGGGAGGGGGACATACTTGACGCCTAACATAGCATCAGGTGAAGCCAGCGTGGGAGTGCTCGTACGTCCGCGTAGGGAGTGGCCTGGGACCCTCCAGCCCAGGCGAGGAGCCCCCAGGGCTTCTGGTCACTGGACGTTGAGCCCCGGGACATGGCATGATTTGGGGACGACAGTGAGCCTGTCCCCTGAGTGTCACAAAGGGAGGGGGGGGGGGGGGCTCACGGGGCTGGGCTGATGCCCTAGTGGACCTGATGTGAAATTTCCTGTCAATAAACTTTTAAATGGTTTGCTAGGATTATTTCTGTATTGAAAATTTCTAATTATGCTTTTTAAAAAAATACTAAAAATAAAGGTTCAAGCTGCCACATTCTCTTCCAGGGTCTGTTTCCTCTTCTCCAGCTGTGCTGTGGGTGGGGCCAGCTTGACTGTTCATGTGGAAGTCCTGCACGGGTGCCTGCGAGGCCCCTGGCCACTCTCCGATGCCAAGTCCTCCAAAGGCTGGTCCAGAGTGGGAGCTTTCCCCCTGACACGGTGGCTGGGGCCCTTGTGGTTATGATGCCAGGGTAAGCGCTGCGTCCCTCCATGTGCCAGTGGGGCGCAGTGGAGGGCTTTGCCCTGAGCAGTTTCTTTTGGGCTCCGAGTTTCTGCTGCGCTCTGGGCCTGCCTGCTGTAGCCACTGGCTGTGAGCCCAGTGCTTGCGACCCCTGCTCCCAAAGCAGCTGCCACCAACAGGAGGCCGGGGGCAGAGCGCTGCCACTTCAGGAGGGGCGAGTCACATGGTGTGAGGCCCCTCCCGGTGGGGCCGCTGCTGCCACCTGCCAGCAGCCGTTCTGAAACTCAAGCTGCGTCCTGACCAACCAGTGTCTCCAGGTACCCAGTGACCGAGGCAGAAGCTCTGTAGAAATTCATTTTATTCTTATTCAGACTATTTTCAAAAGAAGCAGTGGTGTGCTGTTTTTCTAAAAATATGCCTTTATAGATTTATATATAATATGTATATTATAAAATCCATACATGTATTTACACGATTGCTACATACAAAAGTTACAGCACTGTGGTATGTACATATCTATAGGTACATTCTTGCCACTCGCCCCTGCTGTGCTTGCCCGAGGGCGGGAGACTGGCTCCACCGCGAAGCAGCTGCAGGCAGGCGCCCAGCCCTCGGCCTCTCGGCAGAGACGGTGGATGGTAGCTGCTGAGGAAGGAGCGGAAGCAGCAGGTGCAAGGTCATTCCTTCTGCAGCCCTGGACCTCCGGGCAGCCCGAGCTGACGCAGTGCTTCTGTCCACCCAGTGGTGCCAGCACTGCCCTTGGGGCTGGGGTGGCTGACCACAGACCCCTCTGCAGCTCATCTGTGGCCTGGGCTCGCTTGGCCGGGCTAAGAAGTATATGTGAGGGAGCCGGGGGCTTGTGGGAGGAGAGAAGGGCCCTCTCCCAGCCCCAGGGAGGGGAAGGGCTGGGTGGCTGAAGCCTGCAGAGGGCCGGGGAAAGACCACTGCCCGCTGGCTCCCCTGCTAGGGGCCAAGTACCACCGGAGGCAGGTCAGGAGGGAGGAAGGGAGAGCGGTGCTGGCTGGGACCAGGGCCCTGCTTCCTCCCTAGGGCTCGGAGGGCCTTCTCGGGAGAAAGCCCTTGGCCCCACTGCCTTAGGCGCCATCTCTCGTGGTGAGTGGCCTGGCAGATGTGCACCTGCTCGGAGGTGCTGGGCCCAGACGTGTGCCCGGCAGAGCTGCATGCACGTGGGTGAGGGGCCCCTTCCTCACCCCTCTGCCAAGGCAGGGAGGCTCAGCCAGCGGGGGGCAGGCAGCCTCCTGGGGCATGCAGAGAAGGGCCTCATTTCTTGCTCCACCTTATTCAGAAAGAGTAGGGCAGCAGTGCTTGGGGGCTGGGCACTGGAGCCCTGGTGGTGAGGTGGGGTCAGAGTGGCCGAGCCTGGCGGGACAGCTCCAGGCAGCCGGGGCTCTGCTCAGTAACAGCCCGTGGGGGCAGCCAGGCGTGAGCTGGGCCCTGCGCTGGGGACAGGGTTTCTGCCTGTCCCACTGGGGAGGGCACCCTTCAGAGGGCCGGTCAGGCCACCACTCCCACCTGGGTCTTCTGTGCCCGGGGTGCTGGGGGCAGTGAGCCACGGAGCCAGGCCTCCCGAGGCCCTGCTGGGGGACAGTGCGCTGCCCCCTTTGCACCCCGGGCAGCGCCTCCGGTCACCCCCACTCAATAGCCTGCTCCTCACACTTAAGTTTTCCTGAAGAACGAGAAGAGCCGTTTGCCTTCCGTGGCGCCAGGCTCATCCGCCCGCCCTGCGCCGTGGCCCCTGGAGAAGGAAGATGCCGGCAGACTCCGCTCCTTCAAGTGCTTGTCCATCAGCTGCCGGTCTATCACCCTGTGCATGTCGTCCTGCAGGGAGAAGGGCGGGCTCAGCAGGGACTCGGGCCTGGGGCTCGGGGGCAGGGAGGTGAGGGCTGCTGGGAGGCCGTGAGACGAGATGAGATGAGATGAGTGAGGGTCCCAGCCGGGACTGCTCACCAGGAAGGAAAACAGTGGGGGGGGGAGGGACAGGACAGACCACCGGCCCCAGAGCCGCCTCAGGCGGGGCTGGTTCTGCTTTGCTGTTGGCATCCTCCCCTCGGCCCCCCCTCAGCGGACACTCGGACTCTGTCCCTGTCTCTCCCTGTGTCTCGCCTCCTGTGGCCCTTGGGGCTGGCTGGGTGCCTGTCACTCCATTTGCCACCCCCACCCCTCACCCCGTTTGCCCTCTGGGCGGCTCTAGGGTGACAGCCAGCTCTTTTGCCCAACGGAATGGCCTGAGGGGGGGCTTGTACCCTTTCCTTTGAGTTACTTCTGGCCTGAGCTACTGCCACCCACCATCCTCTAGCCCTGCATGGCAGGGAGCAAGAGGCTCCCTGGGTCCTGGGCCCACCCGGCCCTCGCTGCGTTCCTTCCGCCTCCCCCAGCACGCTCCTCTGTGGCAGAGGCCGCGGGCCCACCATCTTCAGAGGCTTGTCCTGCTCAACTCGGGCTATTTCCTTCGGCTTCATCCCCTCCTAGAAAGCGGACCCGTCTCAGGGAACTGCCGTCTGCTCCACGGCAGAGCCTCTGCACTGAACAACTCCATCCTCCGTGTTCCTGGTGCTCAGCTCTGATCCCCCTCGACAGGTTCTGCCACGAACAGAATCCCTGCTGTAGAGACTCAAGCGGCCCTGTCTGGTCAGTATCAGCAAACACAGCAAGCATCTGCCCGACTCCTTCAGTCTTGTGCTAGATGGGCTCCTGGGGTCTCCTGGTGAATAGGCACCAAGTCTTAGAAAAACAGCTGTCCTGCCAGCTGTTCCACTCACACACAGGTGAGGCCAGCAGTGCTGCTGGGGGCTTCCCGAGTTCTGGCAGAGGACTCGGTGCCTCTGCGGAGCCCCTCACTCGAGGCCAGGAAGCTGGGCACCTGTGTCTGTCCCCTCCACAGTCTCACCCAGAGCCCTACCACTGGGTCAATCAAAGGCCTCCGCCCATTTCAGCAGGAAACAGCCTTTCGTGAGCATGTCACCGGGTAGCAGCGACCCTGGGCCCTTCGCTCGTCTCCTCATTTCCTCCTCTTTTGCCTGCCCTTCCTCCCTTATGTCTTGTTCTCTGCCTCCCTGTCTTCTGTCTCCTTCCTCTTCACACTGAACTTCCCTCTTGTCCCCTTCCTCTTGCTTCCTTCCCGCCCATCCCCCCGAGATCTGGGACCTGGGGGCTTGGCCGATCCATAGAACTGGGAGACAGAGGCCTGGCGCCCAGGAACCCCGGGGGCCGTCCACGGCTTGGCGCCTGAACCCAGGCCGGGCTTGGTACGGTCAGTGTTGTCAAGCACAGCACAGGAAACTGAAGGGCTCCAGAGAAGAAACCCTCTCAAAGTTGCCAATGTTTTCCCTGGCCTCTTGCAGACTGCCTATGGCCACTTCAAGCAATCAAATGCATCAAGGCAGTCCCATAAAATGCGTAACTATCAAGCTCTCTCCCTCTGTCTCGCACACATACACACGCGTGTGCTGTTGTAATTCCACATCTGCCACTACTTCTGTGGACAAAACACTGCACTTCTGGGAAGGGGTCAGGTCAGCAGCCAGATGCTGACGAGGCGTCCCCTGGACATGACGATGATGGGAGGAGGGAGGCTGGAGTTGGATGGCACGTCACTGCACAGATGATGCTTGGCACAGACACGGCGGCCATGAGGGGAGGTGTGGGGGCAGGATGGCAGTGGCAGCGGAGGGTGGCGGGTGGAAAGCGGAGCACAGTCTCACCTCAAAGGCAGGAGGGGTGTACAACTACAGCTGTTGGTACGGGTACTGAGAAAGGCCACTAGATCAGAAACCAAAGGAGCCAGATAGTAAAAAGCCCTGAGGAAGCAAACTGCAGCCGGGAGAGAAGAGAGAAGAAGAGGGCGTGAGCCGGGCAACCAGGGCCCAGTGCTCCCTGGGCGCCTCTGCCGGCCGGTCGGCCTGTGGGACCCAGGCCAGGGCCCTCGGGGGCTGGGCACTGCTCACCGGGCCGCAGCGCTGGGCCTCGCTCCCGGAGGCGGCCACGTGCCCTTCACCTGTCTG